ATAGTCACCTTTCTTGCTCTGTCGTGCCTTCTTCCACTTCTCATGACGAGAAGGAGGTGATGGAGGTGAAGTCACACCTGAGGGGTCACTTTGAGAGGCTTCTTGAGAAGCTTTACGCTTCTCTTCTATCAACTTCCTCTCAAGTAGTTGGTAACCCCCTCGGGACAGCCTGTGAGGATATACATTTTTTTGTTGAATTGTTTTTGCCTTTTTTCATTTCTCCTAATAAAGATACATTCAAAGAAACGGTCAGTTAAAAACATGGGCAAGTTAAAAGCAGGCAAGCACAATATGCTTAAAGCACACGAACCTTAAAAGAAGGATCCATACGACTCTCAACAAACTTATCCCATGTCTCAGTGTCTAGAAAGGAATATTGCTCACAAGGAGACACTCCTTTCTTGCTTCCATACTCATCAGACAGATTACTTTCTTTGCTTCATAAGTACGGCTTGGAAGTGTATTCCCTTCTGGAAGCATTTCCATTAATAATTGTATCAACTCTGTAAAACTTTTATCCGTCCACCCATTTTTGGCCTTTAAGTTAAATAATTTTAACACTGCTGACAACCGTGTGAACTTAGAACATCCTATATACGAGAGGCTTCTTACTATCTTCGCATAGTTCTTCGAATACATATCCTTTTTCAAATGGCTCTTCACCGATATCACGTATCAAATCTTCTAGTCGATCATTGGTTTCTTTCTCGGATTTCGGTTGTCTCGAAGCCATTGGGAAATCTACTACTTCCCCATGCCAAATCCACTTAGTGTAACTCTTGCAAAATCCATCACAAAGGAGATGCTCTCTTATATCCTTCACACTTAGTTGTCTTAAATTTAAGCACTCCACACAAGGACAATAAAAGAGACCTCTATTGTTACCCACATTTCTCTGTGCAAACTCTAAGAACTCTTCAACCCCTAATTCATATTTTTCTTCTATACGTTTGGCATTTATCCAACTCCGATCCATATCTATAGGTACATGACGTCTTTGCTTAGTGTGAAAATGGAATTACCTCTATTCAGAAGGCAACAAACTTAAACAACTCAAACTATAATCCAAACCGAAATAGTACTGGAACAACGAGTAAAACTCCAGGAACAAAACAAACAACACAAGGAACAAACCTAAATCAACAACATAAGAAACAAACCCAAATGAAAAACAAGAGAACCAAATATAATCAATACCCCAAAGCCCTACACCCCAGCGTGGAAACCCATAGCCTTAACTCTTCCGCTAAGAGACTCGGACCAGAGCGACATCAACCAACCCAACAGGGCTTGGATAACACCAATCTCAACCCCACGAGAATAACCAAGTGAAAATCACATATTCAAGTCAAACTAAACGGAAATAATAATACAAAACCCAGAATAAACATGTCTACATACATTAAACCCAGGCGAGAATCGATCCACGACCAAACAAAACAATCCGAAATCAAGGAAAATGCATAAAGGTAATTGACAAAACAAGGATGCAGAAGCCAATAGGATAGACCCACGGACTCGGTCCGAATCACCTCCGGTTCGCGACGAGATCGAAGGTGCGCAGGTGCAATGAGGAGGAGCTCCTAGAGGGTTTCAGAGAGGTGAAGACGAGGGTGGCGCGTCGCAGTTCTTGGTGCGTGTCGAAGTTCCTGGTGCGCGTCGCAGTTCTTGGTGCACGGCAAGGGTGATTTTCGCTTGGGGATTCGATTGGGGAAACGGAGGTTAGGGATTCGATTGAGGGAAGGAGATGGGAGAGACGGTGGTTTTCGCTACTGCGATAGGGGCAAGGAGACGGTGGTTTTCGCTACTGCGAGAATGAATTTGGTAATGGCTAGGAGCAAGGGAAGAATTCCAGAGGGAGTCGAGAATGAATTTTTATTATTATTATTTTTTAAGACTTTCCACGTCGGTTCATGGGGGAACCGATGTAGAAAGTAAAATGGTATATTAGATGACCGATCAGAATGGCTTTATGACCAATCAGAACTGGATATGATCGATCAGAATGAGCTTATGACCGATCAGAATTATTTTAATTCAGAGTAGAAAGTACTTTCCACATCGGTTCATGGGGGAACCGATGTAGAAAGTACTTTCTACATCGGTTCCCATCTGAACCGATGTGGAAAGTCTTTAAAAAAAATTCTACATCGGTTCTTTAACAACCGATGTAAAAAGTCCGATGTTAAAAGGGTTTTTTGTACTAGTGATATTTATTCACTTTATATATGACTTCATCATGTACACGTCTGCTCTTGACATTTATCATCTTAGCTTTTACTAGATTAAATGTAGGTCTTGTAAAGGATGTTTCATGCTCAATTTTGGGAATATCAATTGTAAGTAAGTATTGGTTATGTGTAAAAAAGATTGAAGTCTTATATTAACTCATTATATCTTTAATTTCTTAAAGATTGTTTAAAATTGTGTAACAACTTGATAATACTATTATTTTACATACATGAGTTGATACGAGAATTTATAGCTTTAACAACTTATCAATAATATCTGATTGTTTGCTTCAAGTGTATATTTTGAATTCATGTTTTTCCAAAAATTCTCAAAATTTCAACTGTGAAATTAGTATACATGATCTTTTTGAAATCTTGTAAAAAGTTTGCATTCTTCTTTTGTAAATACCAGACACACTATTTATATCTTGCATCAGGAAACACGTGTCTTATTGCTTCTCTCATTATATGGTTATTGTATGTAACAACAACTTTAAGGTGTTTATATGATATTGAACACAAAAAGGATTCCAACACACACACACGTATGTTTTAGTACTTTAATCTAAACAATATAACTCAACCAAATTATATGCACTAGTAAATTTCATGCTAATAATGTCATTTAATGAAAAATCCTTAGCACTTTTACCATTCATATTTTTAGTCTCATCACTTTTATTATCTTTTTCATCATTATCATATTCATCATATACAATTATAATTTACCTACTCTATCATGATATTTTGATATTTAACTGTTATTAAATTTAAAATCTAAATTATCTTTAGGTTAACTCAAGTTCATCATTAAGTTATTCATCTATATGTTATTTACACAAATAACTTTGACATATATTATTAAAGATAACCTATAAAACAATCATCTATATACATTCACCTTTACAAAATGATTAACATGTATATTTTAATCAAATGTAGAATTTCCAAATTTGTAATCTACAATCACAAGATTTTCACTTAGATACCAAAATGTAAACAACAACAACAACATTCATCAACAATCAAATCAATCCAATAGTCAAGAACATCCTCTTGAAAATTAAATTCAATACATATTCCACAATAACGTCACAATTAACAACTTCATCGAACTTAAGAATTGCAAAACGGGTCAGGTCCGGTGGGGCAGGTTAATACTTTCAGCCTGTCAACCCATTTTGGTCTGTCCCGCTAAGCCCGCCAACCCGTCGAACCAACCCGGGTGGCGAGGTGGGCTAGCCCGCAACCCGCTTTACTAATAATTTTTTTAATGTGATACAATACAAAAGGTCGGAAAGATAACATATAATATAAATATTTATGAAAAGAGAATTACAAAAGTATGAGTTTCTTATAAAGAGAGAGAATTCATAAAGTCTCGACTATTAAGAGAATTCAAAAAGTTTATAATTACTTAAACTCACATTATGGGAAACAATTTCCTTTCTCAAACACAAACCCCTCTCTCTCCTCTCCTCTTACTCATCATCTCCTTTTTATTCATTCTTCTTCATAAGGTAAAAATCATATATATCTCATACTTTTTTACTATCTTTTATTGAAAGATTTGATTTAAAAATAATAAAATAAAATAAGAAATATGATGGATCATCTCGCCCTTTGGCAGGGCAGGCCGAGACCTGTAGTCCGCCATGACTATAGCGGGCTAGTCCGTCCTGCCCCTTTTCTTGCAGGGCAAAGGCGAGGTGGGTCAAAATGGGACGAACGGACCTGTTTTGACATTCCTAATTGAATTCCACTATTATGTTAGACGAGGTTTAATAAAATGTAATGTGTCCCAAATTGAATAACGACACACGCTAATGCGTTAAAATTATGGTGTTAACACTTTATAATGAATACAAATCTAATAATTTAAATGATTACGTAAACAAACCTTTTACTAAAACACAAATCTTTCATCAAATTAACGTATGAATTTAGGATACCACACTATATGACAAAAATCAAAAAATTAAATATTAAAATAGATTGAATGATTTATCTTATTGAATGAGCTTACAAATAACAAATTTCCACTCTAATATTTTGGAGCTTTAAATGTAGAATTTTATAATTATAAATAAAGATTTAAAACATTTATAACTAAATATAAATTTTAAAGAAAAAAAGTTTTTTATTTTCAACACTATCTGAAATAAAATCACAATAATAAAAGTACCAAACCAAAATTATACACATGTTATAAGATAAGATGCTTTTCTCGCAAAATGATCATAACTTATTTTCAAGTGCTCCAAAGAATTGCTTAAAATATAATAAAAGTAAAAATATATTATAGATAATTTCCTTTTGTTGGCTTAATTTTCTTTTTACTATTATTTATTTTTTTAGCTTATGAAAATAATATATTTTTTAAGATATTCTACATAACATAATACAAAATAAAAAAATTTAAAACAAAAAATTTAAATAAATAATTAAAACGTAAACTAGTGTATTACACGAAAAATAAATGAATTGGTAAATCGGTCGGGAAATAAATAAATCAAAATAATTTAGTTTCTAAAAACAAAGAGTATATATATATATATATATATATATATATATATATATATATATATATATATATATATATATATATAAAATTTTTTTTACTATTATTATTATTATTATTTTATTTTATTTTTGGTTTAAAAAAAATGTCTTAAACTCATTATCCCCTTTCTCTGGCTACATCCTGGCATTGTTGTACACACTATCCACTCAGCTTGCATTTGGCAAGACAGTGGAAGGAAAGAAAGAATGGCTGTTTCCCTTTCGGCTCTCACAGTCTCCCTCTCTTCACTCTCTTTCTCTTCCCACATTTCGCAGAGACCCAACACCCTCTCCTTCACCACAACCACTCTCCCCCTCTCGCGCTTCCCCAAAACTCCTTCCCTTGTCGTCTCCGCCACCGCGCTCGCGGAACCAGAAACCTCAGACCTCAAAAAGTTCGTGAAATCGAGGCTTCCAGGTGGATTCGCCGCGCAGACAATCATAGGCACCGGCCGCCGCAAGAGCGCCATCGCTCGCGTCGTTCTCCAAGAAGGAACCGGCAAATTCATCATCAATTACCGCGACGCAAAGGTCTTACCCCTCTCTTTCTTTCTGTGCTTGTTTCCTATTCTCGCCCTACTTCAGTAATCCAAATTTCGAGTTGTGGGTTTTTAATTTGCTGAAATATGAATGACATATATCGTAGTGTATTACGGTTTAGTTAGTTGAATTGAGATGCTCAGTTTGTAGTAAATCACCACTTTTTAGTTCATTGAAGTGTATAGTGCAGTTACGTTAGTCCTGAAACTGAAGGAATTCTAAATAAGTATTCAGGAAAGTGCAATTTGTCAATCATATTAGTCCAAGATGCGAAAAAAAAGTGTGACTGAAATGATATATTTACATATATTTAGGAATTAGAATGGTAATAAGTGCATAATTTTAGAAAGTTGGATAAAATGTATAACTGGAAATTTCTGGACTTGTTTGGACTTTCCTTAGTTTCAGGAACTATTTTGAGAGCCTGTTAAACTATTAGGACTAAAATGGTAGTTTACTCGTTTTGTTAGATCTGGGTTGGACAAACTTATGAACAAGAAGATAACATGACTTGAAAGTCTGCCGCAAGTTAAATTGACTTGTGTAATTTGAAAACCTCTCTCGGTTAATTTCTCTAATAGCTGAGGTTGATTTTATTTGACCTTTTTATTTTTGTTTACTCAATTGGTAGTGTTTATGGAATATTTTATCCAGACAGGGTCTTGGCTTGTTGGTTTCGTTTGTCATAGGTTCTGTTAGTTGCTCAATCATTAGTGTCTTTTCAATTAATGAATTAGAGCTGCTAATCTATGCTTGTATTGTGCCACACTGTGAAATTTAATCGATTCAGAATCTTCTGATTCATAAACCCTCTAGTATCTGATGTGGTTGTAGCAATTCTTTAGCTTCCTGCAATTTCTGTTCTTGCTCGCAATGGCTATCTTCCTCTTCTTCCATAGGTGACAGCTCCAATTCACTCTCTCTACACCCTATGGATAACCCATGTCTGAACTTGCTTTTTTCTTATCCACTCACTAGTGACAATTGGAAATTGTCGGTGCCATGACAATGGCCTCATTCGAGAAAGCAGATGGTTTTGTGGATGGCACAGTCCACAGAGCAGATGGTTCTGGTGCTCTGCTGCTTCTGGAATGACAAAGTGACTAAAATCTCATTTCCTTTATGCTCCCAATTTTGTCTCCTTGGAAGTTAATGCGAATGCAAGTGTATTGAACCTGAAGCAAATTTTTTGCATAACTGACCTCGTGTTTTTGAGTTGAAGGAGTTGGTTAACTACTCTCAAGGATCACTTAATGTAAATCATTATTGTACCAAACTGAAAGGTATCTGGGAAGGGCTGGATGAGTATTCTGTGAATGTGTGAAATTTCTTCTTGAATTCATCAACGTAGAATGTGTCATGTGCTTCCTCATGACCTTAATCATGCTTTCTCCAAATTCAGAGGTTAGATTCTACCAATGAAAGCACTAAAACGTTAGGCTTAAGTCATGGTTGAGGAAAAATTAAAGGAAATGAACCAGCCACTATACTGAAGAAAAGAAGATAACAAAATTTTCATTCACGATTTCCAACTACAAGGACCAGAATTAGTTAAAGAACCAAAGGTAATGGTACTACTGAAATACAAGGTGTACCCAGGCTCCTCCTACAGGATAAAGGAAAAAGAAATTTGCAATAGGTCCTTTCTAATAGTAGTTGTGGAGCCATGCTGGCCTACAGGACATCTGTTTGGGCTTGGGAAGGCCCATGTGGCCTGGTGTGTCTTGAGTTGCTGTCTTTGGGCTGCTAACAGGATTCCATTATTTACATTAGCAAGATTTTCTCTCTAATTATCCAGGAAGAAAACAAAGAGAACTTGGTTCTTAACTGCTCAATCTGAAGCACAAGTTCCATGCACAGTGCCAACTTCTGTTTCACAAACCAGGACAAACTTCTCCTGGTGAAAACAAGAACAGAAAAAAAAAGATGGGCTTCTTTGTGCTCATTGTGGGATCTTTTGTTGAGTGGGGACTCCAACTTGTTCTTATGCTAGAATGACTTTTTTTTTCTTCACTGAACTCTGTCTTTCACTTTTTCTTTGCATGGTTGAGTTGACGTGGAAATAGGGTGATTTTCAAGTTACTCTTATTTTTCACGATCTCTACGAAGTATCCCTTGAGGGGTGTCATTGGATTTTTGGCATGTTGTATATATCTGTGGGTCTTTTATTGTTTTATTTTAAATTAATTTTGTATTTTCTTATTATGAATGGATTTCTTTTACTAGCTTTTGTGATTGAAGTTTCTTGGTGTCTCGTTCTTTCTTTTTTACTATTCATAGAGACATGAAGAAATTTCTCGTATTGTCATCTTGGATTTAGGATTTAATGAGAAACATGCTGGATCTGGAATCAGATTATTCAAGTTATTTGTAATATGTGGACAAACTTTTTAAAGTTTTGATCTTGACTTTTTAGGAGTTTTTATTTTTTAATGGAAATTTACACCTTAGATATCTGTGTGTGATTGATAAATATTGTTTCCATTTTATCTTTTTTTGTCTGATTTACTTTATTTTTTGTACAGGAATATCTACAAGGAAATCCATTGTGGCTTCAATACATTAAGTTCCCTTTGATAACTTTGGGATATGAAAGTAGTTATGATGTTTTTGTCAAAGCTGAGGGTGGTGGCCTGTCTGGTCAGGCTCAGGCAATCTCTCTTGGCATTGCCCGTGCATTGCTGAAGGTAAGCGAAGATCATAGAGCACCTTTGAGACAGGAAGGACTTCTTACCAGAGATTCCAGAGTGGTTGAGAGGAAGAAAGTTGGTTTGAAGAAAGCTCGTAAAGCCCCTCAATATTCCAAACGTTGAGGTTGGGATTTTACGTGTATGGTCTGTCTTTTTCTTTCCTGCTGATGTCTCTGGAATTGGATTATATTTGGAACTATTTGTTTTCATTGGTAGTTGTAGATTTCCGTTAGGGAGAGTAAAGAGAGATTGAAAAGTATCCCAAGGCGTATGTATTCAGAATCCTGCCCTCTTTCCCCGTCTCTTATTTCCTTGATCTGTATGGAATTGGGAATTGTAGGTATGATAAGATTTCTCTCCCTTTCATCCCAATCAAAATCACACGTTTTACTATTATATTGTAGGATTCTTTCCATGACCTAAATTTCGTGGTATTTACTCTTCAACAATGACATGTGAATACTTGAAACAATGACGTGTGAAATTTCTTACTGTCTCAATTTTGATCGGTTGTCTAAGATAGACATAAACTTTTGATTGTTTGTGCCTCTAGACATCATGCTCTCACAAGAACAACTCTTTTACAGAAGCTCTTGATTGGTTGTGCCTCTAGACAGCAAAACATGTGCAACAAATTAGTTCCATGCCAATTGCCTCCAGTATTGTTATTGTGCCTAGTCTATCTCTCTCTCTACATAGTGAAGAGGAGGTTACATGATTTTCTGTTGAAAATAGTTCTGAATTCTTCAATTATTCTTTTTAATTTCTGTTTTGAATTTGTTTTATAATTTAAAACATTTAATATATTTACTTTTTCATTTAGCATTTTCTTTATAAAGAAGTAAGGTGATACCTGGATTCATAAGAATATAAATTTAATCTTCTGTTACATAACAAATAGTTTTAAATCTACGTACTACATACACTGATAATGTATATATATTAAACGTAAATATTAAATAAATTAACTTTTTAATTTAATTTTTTATTTATAAAATAGTAGAAAATTATGCATATAATTTAGTAAGTAGGATAAAAATAAGGAGAAGGAAGAACCGTACAACTGGACGGGGAAGCATGGTATCTTTAATAACATTTTTTTTTTTACAAAAAATATAATCGACTTAAATTATAATCATTGAATTTAATATATATATATATATATATATATATATATATATATATATATATATATATATATGATTCACAAGAATAGAAATTATTATAAACATTATTGACAATAAATTTTTTATACAATCAATTGAATTAACCTCCTTAATGAGTTTTTATGTTGAAACATACTTTAGGTAAGATAAATTATTTTGGCTGATAGCCAAAGCGATATATAGGATTTTATTAAACATGTACAAGAAAAAAAATACGAAGGTTATATTTATTATTATTTATTCAAATTAAAATATTTCGTAATATTATAGAAACAAAAATTAAAAAGTAATATTTTTTATAGGACTAACCATTATATAAGATTTTTATTTTTTGTTCCCATTTAAGAGGTACCAATAGAATAGAGATTAAGACACCTTGACCCATGGCGCTGATTAAACTGCAGCTGGTAGAAATAAGATGAAAGCAAATCATGGGCAGTTCTTAGGTCGTTAAATCTCTGTCTGCATTTCGAGTTCCTCAGACACTCTTATAATCTCGTTCCCTGTTTCAATTTCCCTCTTTTCCTCAAGCAACCGTGTTACGCCACATCTTCCATAATGTTCCACAACAACAACCACAACAACAATGTCTCGATCACCGTGTCCGACGAGGAATCCGACGAGCTGGGTCGAATGCGGATCCGCGCTCGACGGAAGCGCAAGAAACTCGGCAACAGAAGATTGCTGCGGAAGCTATTCCTCAGATACTGGATGCTGCTCGTCATTGTTCCCGCCGCGGGATTGCTCATATTCGAGGCCACCAGAATTGGGCGAAGTTTGAATAGTTTAAACACGACTAGCCACATAGAAACAGGCAGTAAGAGAGTTGATGGATCTAGTCCCACATCGCGGAAGGAGCCCCCCGCCAACTTGAATCGCCTCGATCCTACCACCCATGTTGTGGGTGGCGTCAGAGAACGTAAGTAACTTTCTCTCTCTATTTACAGATTAATAATGAATTAGCGTAAGATTAGTAATGAAATCGCGTAAGATTGGTTATATGTGGTTAACTATGTGTAAGTGAGGGTATACAATTGTCGTTTAAACTTATGCTACTTACGGGTAATAGTGTGATGAGATTGTTGAAAAATGTCTAGTGGTGCGATTGAATTTGTCTGACAATTCGTTAAAGAGGAAATGATTGTGTGTATACAATTGAAATATCAGATACTTGTGGAATTAATGGTTAATTACAAGTGATATTGATTGGTAAATATATTTTATTACAAATGGTTAGTAGGGTCATCAAGGTTATTCAAATGTTTAATGGTGACTAATGTTGCCTAATTGTTTAAGAGTAAATGAGTGTGTGGATATATTTATCAACATGTACTGGTTGTGGCACTAATGGTTAATTATGCTTACGCAAATGGTTGATACGTGTCTGCGAGTATTGCAATGTGGTAGTTAACTGTCTATTAAAAGTGGTTAATTGTCCTGGTGGATGCTCGGTGGGACAATTCTCTGTTGAGATTTTGATATTTTTTTTCATTCCAAGATGCATAGGATAGGGTGTTGACGTGTGATTTGATCCCTTTCAGGTTGCTTGAAACTCCTACCTCCTGAAAAGCTTGAGCATCTGGATATTCCTGTGGAAGAGTCTTCTAGTTTTCCTGTTGAAGTTGTGTACATGTCAGAGAGTGATAGGTCTTTTGTTGGAGGGAATGTTACGTTGTCACAATTGCGTTCAGAGGACACACGGTTTAATTTATTTACTGGAAATCAAACATTTGAGCAGAGAGATAGAGGTTTTGAGGTAATGAGTTGGGTTTGGTCATCATTTTTAGCTACTTCTTTATTGTTTGTCGGTAGTTATATGTTTACTCTTGTCTTTGTTTCCTCATGTAGGTGAAAGAAACTATGATGGTACATTGTGGTTTCTACAGTGTGAATGGAGGGTTTAAGATATCTGATCAAGATAGAAGTTACATGCAAAGTTGCAAAGTCGTTGTATCAACTTGTGCATTTGGTGGTGGAGATGATCTCTATCAACCAATTGGAATGTCTGAGGCTTCGCTTAAGAAGGTTATTTAAGAAGTATAAGAGTTTGTTACTGATGCATCTTAGAAGTCGCTGATCTTATTTGCCAAATCTATTTAGTGGTATGCAGGTTTGCTATGTTGCATTCTGGGATGAAATCACCGTAAAAGCGCAGGAGTTAGTGGAGCGCAGAATTGGGGAAAATGGATTTATTGGAAAGTGGCGTGTTGTTGTTGTTCGAGATCTTCCATTTGCCGATCAGAGGTTGAATGGTAAAATTCCCAAGGTATTAATCTTTGAAGCCTAGTGTCTTCTTTTTGTATGCCATTTTCTATGTCTTGATAACATTGTATAATTAACATGTAGTTTCACTCAGTTCGGTGTCCTGCCCCTTTTGATGATTCTTATTTTTTCATACACTGCTATGTGAATGCATGCTCATAATGGTTGTTGTCCTTCATAAACTCCATCAATTGACACATGAATTCGTTGTCTAGGATACAATAAGATTTATGCCTTTAACAGCTCAATGAAAATTTGGTCTTTGATGTTAAAATGCGTTGTATAATCCATGTAGCAGATCTCACTTAATGGCATAAGGCTTTTATTATTGTTGTATATGCCTAGCATGATCTGTTATTCTCTCTACTTATTCTTTAATTTGGGGTATCATCCACTGACAAAACTTTCCGTTGTTCCCTTTTAAAACCATGTGTGCACTTGGATTCAGATGTTAAGCCATCGCCTTTTTCCTGAAGCTAAATTCTCAATTTGGGTAGACTCCAAATCCCAATTCCGGAGAGACCCACTAGGTGTGTTGGAAGCACTTCTTTGGCGCACAAATTCTATGCTTGCTATATCAGAACATGGAGCTCGCAGTAGTGTGTATGACGAGGCTAAGGCTGTTGTCAAGAAGAACAAAGCCAAGCCAGAGGAAGTTGAAGTGCAACTGAATCAATACCGAAAAGATGGCTTGCCCGAGGACAAGAGATTTAATGGAAAAAAAGGTACGCATTGTTCATTTTTATAAGTAAATTAATTTTAACATTCTTCTTCTTTTCCTAAAAAGAGAAATCCATGTTCTTTTCATTTAAGATCTTGCTATATATCAAATTTTCAATCCTCTCATTTAGTTTGTTTCTAAACTTTGGCTTACATTTGTATCCCTACCTTTGCACCAATATTTTGTAAAATGGTGTAAAACTTGTGCTGTGCAGCTCTATGTGAAGCCTCTGTTATCATCAGGAAGCATACACCACTAACTAATCTATTGATGTGCGTCTGGTTTAATGAGGTGGTTCGCTTCACTTCTAGGGATCAGCTCAGCTTCCCCTATGTCCTGTGGCGGCTGAAAGCATTCAAAACCATCAATACTTTTCCTGTTTGTACTCGCAAGGATCTTGTCAATAGTATGGGCCATGTCCGCAAGGCGAAACCTTTGCAAATCTGATTTAATTAAATTGGTTGAAAGCAATGGCAATCACCATTTATCTAACTCATTTCTTATTTCAATATTTTCTTTAGCCAATCAAATCAGGTATGCGTGTTGTTTTTCTAACCTCACCACCTCTTCTCTCATAGCCAGTGAATGATTATAATTTGTATTTAATGTTTATTGTGAGCTTTTTGATTAGGTCATTTCAGAAAGAATCTAGTTGATAGAAAGGGAAATCAAACAAAGAGATTTTGCTCTGGACCTGTTTACTAACACAAATTTCTATAATAACACCGATGTTTTCATAAATTGTGAGATTGCTGTGCCTATTATATCTAGTTAAAACAAATAAATAAATGCAGCTATATGTGGTTGATGGAATAGATCTCTTGTGCGAGACATGTAGCAATTGTTCCTGGGGAATCTAATGATGGCAATGATCGTGTGAGGCATACAAAGAATCAGTTATCCTTATCCAGAGCAGAACTTGGAACCACTGATGCAACAGATACGTTGTCAACTTGATGATGCATTGTGTTGCTACACCTGTGAGACGTATCATAAATCATAGAAAGAAGGCATTCAAAATCCTGAGATAGAGAAGTTACATGATGAAAGGGTACCATTTCAAGGTTGTGTTGGTTAGTGATGAAAGGAGGTTTATTAGTTTAGGGGTTAGTTGTACTTGATGTCTATCATTTGTGGTTTTCAGTTACCAATGATTTTAGAGCTTTTTATGCTCAATAACCGAAGTTCAATATTTTTTTGTTTCTGTTACAAAAATCCCTTTGATGCCTTTAAGTTAAATTCAATCTTTATAAGGTCGTTAATGGAACAGTGAAAATGGTATGGGTTCTCTTCAAGAAAGAAATACGGGTAAGACAATTTTAAAAGAGATAAATTCAAAGGAAAAAATAAAATTAATTTTTTTATAAGTTAAAATTAGATCATAAGTTAAAAATCGAATTTTTTTACTAGACAAAAGAAAATATTTTTTTATAAATTAATTTATAGATAAATTAACTAATGAAGACATTGATTTATTCAAATTTATTTTGTTTGGATCAATTAACATTTTTACAAAGTGTGCACTGACCTTTTATTTATTTAAGTTACATTTCTCTTTGAAAACTGATATCATAAATTTACTTGAATAAATGTGTGTCTAAAAATTGTGTTAGGAAGGAAAATAGTTCACTAAATAATATTGTATATAGTTAAAAAAATTAAAAGGATGACTATTATATGTGTGCTACAATTCATGTCATTTCAAACCATAAAACTATTTAAAATATTTCAATAATAAAGTCCTTTTTATGGTTAAAACACAGTTTTAAGAATGTCATTCCACTTAACCATACTGTATGAAATTTATAATTATTTTACCTGACATAGGTTAGAGTTACTTTTTTACATTATTAGTAAAAGTTTTTTTTCCTTATTTTTTACTGTTGTGATAAAAAGTTTTATGGTTTGACAAAGGTAAAAAAATAGTTTTAATAAATTGGTAAAAAAAGTCTTAATCAAGTTGAAAAAAGAAACAAGTGATGGTGATAAAAAAACAACACTTGTATATATTAAAAAGATAATTGATTGATATTAGTTAAGAAATTAATCTATATTAAATAGATTATGCTCTGTCTAGGCCAAACAAACCATACTCAGTGGAGGTTAAATCAATATCTTAATTGAGGTTGGGAAGAAAAGAAAATATAAATAGCCGAGACATAAATATAAAAAATAAAATATTATAAAACAATAGTAAACTAATAGTCTATTAAATGACACAAAATAATAATTTATTATTGCAATAAGAATTATAAAATAATATAATAATAAAAAATCAGACATAATAATGTTTGATAGTGTTTGTATCTCTTAACTAAGTGATTAAGAATGATGACTCTTTTTCTATACGAAATAAACCACGTTGAAAAGAGAATATGCATATTGTGTGATGGAAGCCCTTATCAATACCATGATTTAAAAAATGTACAATAATTTAATATTTAAAGAAAGATATAATGTTTAAAAATTAAAATTTAAAATATCTTAACCATATTAAAAATAATAATAATTTTTTGATAATATATATATGTATATATATTATTAATTAATAAATTATTAATTTTATTATAAAGTAAATATGAGATAAGTAAAAAAGAGAAAAGTATATTTACGATAATAATTTTTTAAAAGAATTAATTTTATATAAAAATTTTAATATAACATATATTTGTTTAATATTATTTTATATTACTATTGTTAATATTTTCCGGTTGTTTAAATTGTTTAATATTTATTTATTTTAATGTTAATATATTAATATTAAATTTGTTTCATATAAATATTAGAATAATAAATAATATATAGTTGAAAACTTATTTATTAAAATATTATGAACATGATACATGAAACTTTTAAAATTTATGGATAAATAACGAACATTAGGACATTTTTTTTAGTGTGGTCAAATATGATCGAATAAAGTTTGGAATAATTTTAATTTTTTATATTGTTTATTTATGTTTGTATATGACTTGACTTCATATAATCTTTTGAAGTTTTCTTTATTTTTGGATTTGGGCTCAAAATTTATCTCGCATAAAATGACTAATAATATTCATTCCTTAGTTTTCCGAACAATTTATTGTAGACTTTATCGACTTGCACTAAATTATATAAAGATTGATATAGTTTCCAAAATCTCGATGTGTGTGTTTGTATGTAGCAATTATGTATGAACACAATAGTCACCCCATGATTCGTTTAATATTACTACAAATCAGTCTATTGGGCTGATTTTTACTTAATTGACGATTTCTTCTATAAAAAACATCTTGTCCTAAATGTTGATCGTTGTCTCAAGCTTTCTCTTTCGAGATTTTGTCCAATCATTTTATTGCCTTTGAATTTGCATTTCTTATTATGTTATAAGAATAGAAGAATCTAAGCTTATTGTTCCATATGTTATTTAAAGCAAATAAAGACTAATTAGTAATAGTTACTTCAATAATTCCAGAATGCATCAAATTAATGAGCTTAGAAAAGAATACAACTTAACATATTCATAACATCCTTCTGAAGTGGGTTGTTCTTGAACCTTCTCATGAAATTTTGTGTAATGTATGAAATGTAGTACAAATGGATACAATTGCTTTCGATCCAATCACTATCCTCTCTTAAATAAGCACTTCATATGGACTAGTGTGAGTTAGAAATGAGACATAGTCTATCTTGTGAAATGGCGTAGCTCCTTAGGTTCCTCAAAAAGAAGAGTCAAACATTAACTATTCCCCCTTCATTATAACAAAGATTATTAGGAGTATGTTGTTGCGTCCATCTTATGCTACTATAACTAACAATGTTCTTTTGTATGTTCCATACAGAAACATTCCATCCACTTGCACTATTGGTCTGTAGTATTGAAAACCATTAATGCAAGGTTGGAATGACCAAAATATCCTTTTAAATGAGTCATCTTAACTAATTGTTGTTCTTGGAATGTGGGACAAGCATTCATGTAACACATGAATCCGAAAACATATACTTATATTACCTTAAGAATACATGACAACTTGTTATATGACTCCTCCCAACTACCACATAATTTCTCAATGGCTAATTGCTTGGCTAATCATGTCTTTCGATATGTGACAGTGTATAATTGGATGGACTTGACAGATAATTATTATTAAGATAGGAGTTTAACACTTAAAAACCTTAATCTCTAGATTGGCTTGAATTTTGCGTCTTGTATGTGCCATCATGGATGATTGGGATCTATTTAGTGCTTCTTGGACATCTTGTTCGATGTTGAAGTGTTGACCAATAAATAATGTTCTAGAGGGGTATATAAGTGTTTCTCGATCAAAAACATGATCAAAATCTAGGTCAATGTCATTTATGGTGGATTGGAATTGGATGAATTGCTATGGTGGGTCATAGGTTAGTTGGGTAGGTCGGATGTTTGGTTTTGGTTGCAGTTCTTCATCCTCTTCTTCATCTACACTAACAACAAGAACATCATCTTCATCTTCACTAAAAGGATTAGAACTTTTGGATAAGGGTGGTATAATGTCCTTATGTAAGATCGAGATTGTAACAATCACGATTAAATTTCTATTCATCAATAACCCGGATTAAATTCACGTCACCCAAGGATAAAACACATTGTTCAATATAAGATTCCTATGTACCATACACTAACACACGTTGTCCAAGGTGTTAATAAAAAGTAACAACCACAATTACATATCCACTCATCAACGATCCAAATTGAATCCACGTCACCAAAGGTCCACCTTAGAGGATAAAACACACTATTCATGATAAAATTCTTCTGTAACACACATATTATCCTAGGTGTCAACTAAAATTAATGGTCAGGATTACATATCAACTCATTAACAACGTAGATTGAATCCACATCACCTAAGGGTCACCTTGAAGAATAGAACACATTGTTCAAGATAAGATTCTTTTGTACCAAAAATTGACATATGTTGCCCAACGTGTAAGCAAGATAAGATTCCTTGTATCAACGACCCAGATAAAATCTCCACTCATGAATGATCGACATTTAATTCATTGTATTAATAGACTAACCGCTTTATATAGTGCATTTTGTGGATTATGCTTTGCCACATTAAAGTAAGAGTTTCGAAACATTATACATCAATTCTATATTTACATTTAAATTTGAAATAATATCATCTTCAACTTGTAGAAATAAGTTGAACAGAGGTTTATTTCCATCAGAACAATAATAATATTCTTATATTAATATTTTTTATACCCTATTTATTTTGACGTCAGGTTAACCATATATTTGATCATGTTTGGATATTTTTTATATTATTTTAGGACCCTAAACATAATATTGTGTCTTCATTTTATCACTAAATGGCATAACCATGCCCTTTAGTGGTTCCTATACTTAGGGATGCCAGTAGATGAAACTCCGTCATGGATAGCAAATGGATATCATAAACGGGTACCTATGGGAAGTGGGT